TGTATATTGTCAGATTTTAGTAGACATTGTCAAAGGTCTTTCTTTCAAAGAGAAAAAAAATGGTTCTCTTCAAGACATCACATGACATTTGTTGGGTTTAGTACACAGCATGATCAAAACCAATATTCTTTTTTTGTAAAAGTTCTTTACATTTTATTAGTATTTACTATGCATTCATTGAGATCTATGAACTGCGACAGAACATACAGAAATAACTGCTTTGAATTTAGTATGCTTTTGGATGCACGTGCATTACAGCAGCCCTGATAACAACCACATTCCTTAAAAGAACAATAAGACACATGGAGGCAGTGAGAGGCAGGAGGATCTGTGTGTTGAGCAGTGATTCTGACACTTCTTAAAGGAAGAACAAAAAATCCCATCTATCTCTATCATGTAATCCTGGAAGTATATCCAAAAGCTGAATATGACCATGTAATATTTTCTAAGTCAGTGGTTCTCAACCTTCATAGTGCCATGATATAGCTTCTCATGTTGTGGTAACCATCAAGAATAAAATTATTTCCCTTAGTACTTCATAGCTGCAATTTTGCTACTGTTATGAAAGATACATGTTATAGTTTTGATATACTATGATGGCTTCTGGATATTTTCTCAGGCCACAATAGATGCAGTGCTCTACTGTACACTGATAGAAAATTTGTCTCTTGTTCTGAAATTGTATCTGAGCTTCTAGTAAGTTTTATCTATTATGGGTTGGAAGGGAAGGTGCATGTACAAACATGGAATGCAGCATAAGGCATCTGGGAGAAGAATGTGGATATCATTTGTGATTTTGTAGCTGAGGAGTCATGTTCTGCGGGAGGAAGGTTGTGGGAAGTGCCAATGTAGATGGGTGTGGCTACTACCTCAGTGGAAGCTCTGGTTCTTTGTGGTCCCCCTAGACCAGAAGTTCTCAAATTGTGGGTCATGCCCCTTTTCAACTGACCCATTCAAATGGTTCAACCAACCATCACGTGTTCATCAGAAAACATAAATATTTACAATATTATTTTTTTCTCATATGTGAAATAAACTAGTGGGACTCACAGGACTACTATCAGTGAATCAAATGAAAGACCATAATGAATAGTGTTTTCTCTCAGGCTTTTAGTATCCATGTCCCTATGAGGTGAGGAAGCAGTCTTTAATAGGGTGTTGACAGTAAATGTCATTTCTGGAGACTTCTAGTTCTATAGATTTGGTGCCTGTATAAATACTATTTCAGTGAATTATTTCACCATCCTAGAAGGAAAACTGTTAATAGTCCCCTTCTACACATAACACAACTGAAACTTGGAAAGAGTAAATCTGTGCAACTTACTTTTAGGTAATTGAATCTCTCTAATATTTTACTTGTTGTTGACAATATCATGAGGAAAGAATTAGCCTTAAAAAGTGTCTATAAAGGCACCTAAAATTAATACAAGTAACAACACCAAGTATAGGCAAGGACTTGGAGCAGATGTTGACTTTCATCCTTTATGAAGGTATAAAATGGTGCAAATAGTCTGGTAAAACATGTTATTTGCTGAAACTAAACATTCTTGGACTCTATGACATATCAGTTCTATTCTGTGATTATTAACACTGATTATCAACTTGACAGAATCTACAATCACCTAACTGGGAAAGAAGGCCCCACCCTGAATGTGGATGGCACCATTTCATAGGCCAGAGTCCTGCATTGACTACAAAGGAAAAAGTGAGCTAAGTAAGCATCAGCATTCATAGCTGATTCCTGACTGTGGGTTGTAACTTGCTACCAGCTATGTAACTATCTAACTACGAGCCAGAACAAATCTGTCTTTCCCGGTGAATTGCTTTTGTTAGGTATTTTGTCATTGCAATGAGAAAAGTAATTACTACTCACCCTTAGGTATTATTTGATTGAAATGAAAATATATATTCAAAAATTACTTTTATAGGAATTTTTATAGCAATTTCAATCATGATGAAATCAAACTATAAAAACTTAGATATAGTTTTTTAAAGAAAAAAGGAAACAAACAGTGAGGTACATATGCAGAGTCTGACTGGAAAATAGAAAGATACTTTCTCTATTGAGGATATATACTGATATAGATATACTGATATACTTCATGCCACAGAAGTATACTCATTTCTCAAAAATCTATAAGTTTATATTTAACATTTTAAAACATCACTATATGTACTTTTCACTTGAAAACAAAAAGTATAAAACCATATTGAACTCTATTTTATATAGATATTGAAGTATTTTAGTGCAAAATATATTTATAAATGCACTTTAAAATATGTCAAATATGATCAACTGATGGGTAGATATTTTAAAGTATTTCAAAAATATGATCAACTGATGGGTGGATGGATGGTGTCATAGTTAGGGCTTCTATTGCTGTGGTGAAACACCATGATCAAAACAACTTGTGGAAGAAAGCATTCATTTGGCTCAAGCTTCCATATTATAGCTCATTATCAAAGGAAGTCAGGATAGGAACTCAAACAGGGCAGTAACCTAGGAGAAGAATCTGTAGCTAGAGGCTATAGAGGGGTGCCGCTTACTGGCTTGCTCTTCATGGCTTGCTTAGCTTGGTATCTTATAGAACCTAGGATCACCAGCCCAGGGGTACCTGCACCAACAATGGGCTAGGCCCTCCCACATGAATTACTGATGTCCTCAAGCTTGCCTAGAGGCCAATCATATGGAAGCATTTTCTCATTTGAGGCCCCTCTTCTCAGATGACTTCGAGCTTGAGTCAAGTTGACATAAAAACTAACTATGACAGATAAATAGAGAAATTGAGGGCTCCATGATAAAACAAGAATAGCAATATCTTAATGGTGGGATGTAGATGGGAGGCTGAGTTTTTTCCACATTAAATGACTTTAATTTTTCCATTTGTTAAGGTGTTCATAATAAAATGTTGGACCTACTCCTTATTTTATGTAGTGGGTATACAAGAAATGACTGAGAGAGTGTGTCTGGGATAAGAAAAATGAATTACTATTGACACAATTCCTTCTACCTATCAGGGTAAAGAACAGAGATGGCAACTTAGTTTCAACAATGGGTATGGTAGATATTATTATTGGAACTCAAAATCATGACAAATAGGTTAAGTGACTTGATTAAAGCCGTAAATCATTGAATGATAGTCGTGATTTGACCTTTTCTGTACTAAATCAAGTTACCTTCTGCAGCTCTTTTCAAGCTACCTCTGTACTCCACATTTCCTTCCTTCCTTCCTTCCTTCCTTCCTTCCTTCCTTCCTTCCTTTTTTCTAGTAGTTAATATCATTTGATATACTATACATTTGCTTTTAAAAAATAAAATAGCCCCTTTTAATTATAATTAGAATTCTATACAGGCATGAATTTTCTCATGTTTTTCTCACAATTATATCTCTGGAATAAAAAAACAGTGTCCATGTCTTTGTAGATACTCAAGAAAGTTATTTGTGGAAGAACAATGCACTGTAGAAGCTAGCTTAAGTGGAAGTAAAATAACATAAAAAAATGGCTGCAACATGGAAAACAACTTAAACCTAAAGCAATGCAGTATATCTTAGGCAGAATGTGTTTAGAAACCGTAGTATGAGTTGAACAACAGTAAGAAGGGGTCAAGCCATGTAGAATTGTATGTTATAAGAATTACTTGGGTTCCTTAGAAGATAATGATTCGATGTAGGAGCTTTTTGTTTGTTGGTTGGTTGGGTTTTTGTTTGTTTGTTTTTCAAGGTTTTTCTGTGTAATAGCTCTGGCTATCCCAGAACTGGCTCTGTAGACCAGCCCCTAAACTCTGAGATCCACCTGACTCTGCCTCCCTAATGCTGGGATTAAAGGCTTGCAACTGCCACTTCCTAGCTTGGATGTAGGATCTTAAAAGGAGTGTGAGAAAGTAAGATTTTTATTTCCAGAAAATTACTTTAGGGCCAGGGAGATGGCTCAGCAGGTAAAGGTACTTGTTGTACATGTGTATATATATATATATATATATATATATATATATATATATATATATATGTATGTGTATATATATATATTATATATAATTTATATATAATATATTTATATAATATATAAAATTTATATATATAAATATATAAACACACATATATATACACATACATGTATATATACACATATATATATGTGTATATATATATATATATATATACACTTGTTGTACAAGTATACAAATATATGTACAAGTGTATATATTATACAATATATATTATATTTACTATAACATACATACAAAAGGCCTGACTTTGATTTCTTTTATTTATTTATTTTTTATTTTTTAGCTTTTTGAGACAGGGTTTCTCTGTATAACAGTCCTGGAACTCGCTTTGTAGAAAAGGCTGACCTCAAACTCTCAGAGATATGCCTGCCTCTGCCTCTGCCTCCCAAGTGCTGGGATTAAAGACATGTCTGTCCTGACTTTGATTTCTTGATCCAATACTGAGAAAACCAACCCCTGAAAAGTGTTCCTGTGACCTTCACACATGTGCAATGGCACACACACACACATGTATGTATATATCTGTATGTTCTCACATATAAACACATACACACATAATAACCAATAAAAAATTTAAAGATTTCTCTAGGGACAGTACATAAAATGGATAAAAGGTTGGTAAAGGTGAAATCAATGTATAGAAGTGACAGTGGTCTCACACAAAAAAGAGTGGCATTGTGGATAGGCTCCTTTGAGAAAAATAGTAGGTAAGCATGGTTAGATTGGTTACATAGTGTGAGAGAGATGGACAAGCTGAAGGCAGATTTTTGTTTGGGCGATTGGGTGGATATGTCATTCAATGAAACATGAGTGAATATGTAGCAAGGTGAGCCTAAGGTGAACAGAGTCTATGAGCAAGAATTTGAATATGATACATTATAAACTCTGTAAGACAACCAAATGATGACTCCAGGAGAGAACTGGATAAATTAATCAAGAGATTCATATAGAATAAATATATAACACGGGAGAAGAGTTGTTTGGTACTCACCTGATCAAATACAGCTCTTTATTCCATGGGTATATATTTAAGACTGGCCCAACTCCAATCATGTGGTTGTGACAGTCTCCAACATTTTCAATATATTCATGCTTCAGTGGCACTTTGGTGAGGAGTTCAAATTCCTCCGGTGCTTTTTGAAGTACTTGTTGTGCTGCATAGAATCCATCTACTAGCAGCGTCCTGCCACCTGTTCCTTCATGCTTAAGACAATGGAATACCTGAATGCTAAAGAAAGCAAAGCAAATTATTCTGTTCAGTGGATATTAAGATTTTAGTATATTATATCAGAAATGATTTCTAAACCTACTTT